AAAGCTTGAGCCATTGTTGCATGTCTAAGGCAGTTACCGATCTGAGAGCAAGAACACGAAGAAAGGGTGAACCAGCATCAACTGGCCACCTTACCTGCAGGTCAAAACCACAACAAAATCAGCTACAGAAGAATGCCATTTCTGTTCTGTTTTCAGTCAACTGTCTTTTCTCACACAGCATTTAGTGTCATCGTGGGGTAGCTAGGTCTGCCTCCATATGGTATGTAATATACTTGGGGCCGTTTGAAGGTTTGGGGTAGTGGAGCTGAGAGTGAATGCAGACTTAACTGGAACTGAAAGGCCTACTCGAAGGCCCAGACTTCCAGACTGTGTATGTTGAAGTCCTGCTGGGTCGAGAGCGGCTGGTTGTTGAAAGTGGCACATTTGGTGGTGGTGCCTCGGTACAGCTCAGCGTCCAGCCACAGACCTAGGTGACCACTGCAGAGGGGATGCAGAAGGGAAGATGGTAAGAAAAAGGTATATATTATTTCATGACAAACACTTTGCTGTCCAAGAGTCAGGATTACTTACATAACTTTGTCCTCAGCCTCAAACTACATTAAATGAGGTAAAGATGTCTAGTGGAGTTGCTAGATCCACTTACCCTCCTCCTCCCATCTGCAGACAATCAGTACTGCCTTTCACAAAGTAAGAATTGTCCCCCGTCCAGCGAAACACCTGAAAACAGACAAAACAACCTCTGACATTTCCATTTGAGCACTCAAGTTTATTTTACTATTAACAATTTATATAAATTACTGCAATTGGGACTATAAATCATGTAATTAAACAAACCTTGATTTCAGGACAGAAGCTATAGAGAAACGTCTCTCCAGTGCCATAGAAATGGTCGCTCACTCTGAATGAATGTGTAGAGAATGCCCCAAATATCTGTGAGAAGAGATCATTCATTTTACAATAACATGTCTATTCCCTTGGAAACAAATAAAAACCACTGCACTAGTAAATAAAATAAGCATAGGAGCTTTCAACTGATCCTGATAGCACCAACTTTTACTAGTTTTTTTTTTTTTTTTTTTGCTACCAACAAAATGTGCTGCCAAGGTCAGACTTTTTTTTTTTAAACATACACTGAATAATCTATTAAACAATCCAGGTGTAACTTAATTGACCATAAAGGGGCATGCATTACGCTGAACTAAAATAAAAATCCAGCCCGTCTGCAACAGATTACTGTATACTGATTGATCACACTGTGCTGTTTTTGATATCGAAAAAGGATTAAAATGACATTTTACAGTTGTCCAGGTGACAGCTATTAAGTAACGTGCTGCATTTAAACAGTCATTAAACACAGGAAGGTTCACCAATATCATTTTTGTTTTTTTACTTAGCAGAAACGGTAAAAATGCACATTTTATTTGTGTTCTACAAAAATTGATTCTTGTTTCAAAACAGGAAGTAAATGTCATTCTTGCAAAGTGTTTGTACACTCCTTTAATTTTTAATAGTGGAAACACATCACAAAATTACTTTGAATGTTTTGAATGTTAAAAGTAGCAAAGTCAGCATCTATGTATGAAGTCCATAAAAGCCATATGCTGGTGATCCACATACATTACCTTTGACTGCTATTCCCCTCCTCCATTATCAAGTGGCAAGGCCCCAGTCATTCACATACTGTATATCTGTGTGTCCAGTACCTACCTGATTATCCATATCTTTGATGACCAGTAGAACAGGACTCTCCACGTCTGCCAGGTTCCTGTACAGAGTCTTGATACTGGTACCGTGTTTCACAGTGCTGTAGGCCAGTCTCCATGGATAGCCCTGCGCACGGGCTGGCAGGCGACAGGCAAGCTGAAGGCAAAAAACAAACAAACAAACAAAAAAAAACACACAGGTCATCAGACTATAAAACAACAGACCAACCTGAATGTGAAAAGTGAAATAATCTGGAACAATTGCCTTCTCAATGTGTGTGTCCTCTAGCACATCACTGGTTTCACTGAGTGTGGGCAGTGCATCCATAGACAGGTCTCCGTCATAGCTGCCAAAACTCTGCCGACGTCTAGCCTCACTAATGGTGATGATCTAGGAGCAAAGGTTCATAAGCAAGTCATAAAAAAAACACTACAAAACATGGCATTATCATGAATAAAGCTCATTTACTATATGAAGACTGAAGACTAGCAGCTGTTCTCAAACCAACAGCACATCAACAAACTGGCCATTTCCACTCAGCTCACCTCCCAGCTGCAAGATGCAGGATCACTGAAGAAGTTATCAATCATGTCCAGTTCATCCTTCTCCACCACAACAAAGCCCTGCTCTCGAGCTTCCTTCCCATACACATCAGGAGAACATTGGACAAAAAATGCATACAGATGATCCACCCTGCAACACACACACACACACAGAGTATATTAGAGGGGTTAAAACCCAAGCACCAGGTTCTTCAGTGATTAATACTAATGTTAAGCTTATGGTTGGTTATTTCCACAGGTAACTGGACTAAAGAAAGTTATGCATGCAAGTTTTTATTTGTTAGATTTCGGAAAGAGGAATCTTTGAATCTGCCTAAATTCATTTATGAGCTCGTGATCATCTCACCTTTCTTGGGGCACAGCGAACCAGTACTCTGGCTGCTTTCCACAGCCTCCAAACAAATGCACTGGACTAGAGGTCATCCCAGTGGCAAAGGATTTCCTCATTGGTTTTCCCACTTTGAAGCACAGGAACATGGGAGGTTTTTTACTCTTCTCTTCTGATGAGAGAAGCATGTCTACACAGAAGACGGAATCAAAAAATAGAGAAAATCTAATGTTAGACTCCTTGATTTCATTACATCCTCTAGTGTGCCCTTAAATTCCAAATTTCATTTCTACCGATGACATGCTTTGCTGCCTGCCACTAACTTTTTTGACATTACCAGCAGGGGTCACCAAAGTCTGACATTTTCTAATTGTACACATAAAGGCTTTAGAACCAACAGTGCCTGGGAGGGGTTTTCCCCTTTAATATAAAAATGTGACAAGTGTGATATAAATGTTAGGACATGAAAAGATATTGTAAAAAAGATGAAGCATGAGAAAGAAAAGAAAGCAAGATATGAGGAGAAAACATGCTGTGGAGTGGAATGCAGTCTTAAGATCTGGGGATGTTTCTGGCCACTGCAGCAAAATAACAGATATGGCATTTAATGTTTTGAACTACAGAAAGAAACATTCCTGTCATTCAACATATAAAATGTCAAAAAATAGCTGTGACAGTCTACTCATGGTTTAATAACTAGTTTATAATTCCTACCTTCTATTGGAGCCTGTATCCTCTCTAACAGCCATGACTTCACTTCTGCTTCGTAGTTTTTCTTCCGTATCTCCTCCTCACTGAGTTCATGCTCCTCTTTTGGTCTCTCTGGGCTTTGTCTAATTGCACTAGAGGTCCCACGAATGGCTGAAGCCTCCTTCACATTCAACTTCCTGTTTTGGTCCACAGGCGCACTGATTATGTCATCATCGACACAATTTAGCAGCTCTTCAATCTCTTTACGTTTGATATCTTTGGTTTCAGGTACCACTTTATCATGCAAGTCACCCTGTTTTGTAGTCTCTGAGGAGGATGGTACTGACTCTCCATCCTCATTTGAGCTGTTCTGAGCTAGACCTTCATCTTTTTCATTATCCAGTTTCCCTTTAGTTAGACAAAGCTGTGACTTGTCAAGAGACCCTCCCAGGCCTGGGTAGCTTAGTCCTAGGAGTTCCTGTTGGTCCCTGCTGACATCGCTGGGTGTGCTGGGGGGTGTTCCCTTCAACTTCTCAGTGCTCCCGTTGATGGTCAGCTCCAACTCTGTGAATCCTTCATCTGATGGAGACTTCTCTGTCGGCTCGCCCTGTGTACTCGCTTGTTTCAAGAAGATAAAACTTCCTTTAAGCTCATCACTTCTTTCTCTAAAGGTTATTTTCATTACTGCTAATTATTCTGCAGACTGTTTTTTCCAATAAAGTAATTACTTGGTCTATAAAATATCAAAAAGTAATGAAACATGCACATATCAGTTTACTAATATGACTAAGAAAACCTGCCAATATTCACATTAAAGAAGTCAAAACCATTGATTTTTGGTGCTTATCAAAATTGCTACCATTTAATCATCTGTTTATTGACTAATCAGTTAATCACCATATAAAAACATCATTTCTAATCTTGATGAAGAGATAGAAACTAAATGTAAAATGTTTGGTTGCAGGGTTGGATCTCAAAATTCACAAGCCACTTTAACTGAATTAACTACACATAAAACCACTGTTCTCAGCTGCAGCTGGATAGTAAATCAAATTAAAGTTATAAGACATGACCCAGAACAACCACATTTTGGAGAGGAAGATCACAAACATCAGGTTTGGATGACACGTTACCAGTTTCAGAGAGGGTGGATTCAATGTCGTCCAAAACAATAGGCCGCTTTGGATCCAGAGCTTCGTAGCGGCTGAAGGGGTTCAGGTCCCGCTCTGATGGCAGCTGCTCCCACTCGCCAGGCCTGTACACAGGACACAGATCCTGTGGTAGGTCTCTGTGGGGTCACGGGGCACCACACATACCACACCGCAAACGAGGATGAAAATGAAAAGGGGGAACAAAAACAAAAAAGGTCCAACAGAAATTAAAAATGACCAGAATGATACAAAACGTAAAACAACAAAATAACATGTGATGTACAACTGGAAATGAATCAAAAATAGATTAATGAAATAAATAATAATAACATGGAAAAATTCAAAACCATAAAGACGGGATCCTAGAAGGGGCTTTTAAGTGTAGGCAAGACAAAGTAGAAGCAAAGGTGCTTCACAACAAGACAAAGGGATGTGGTAAAGAGGCAAATGTGGAGAGGTCAATATGTCAAAAGGACTCAGTTTAAACACTCAACCGTTGATGAGAACAAGCAATATAGAAACTGGAAGGGGGAACAAGAAAGGAGAAATATGAGTCGAGGACCGGAGGGACGGTTACAGGGAAGGGAAACGAGGAAAAGGAGGCGGTTGGGAGTTCTTACGACGGCAGGGCGTCTTTGAGCTTCATACGTGACATGTCATCATACAGCGCCACAGACACAACCTCCTCCATGGGGCAGATGAGGCCATACTCCTCACAGCCATGCTCGATCACCAGGGGGTCAGATTTGTGGGGGTCAAACATGATGTTGTTCGGGGTCACAATCAACACGCCTCCCACCACTCCCTACAACATAATACATGGAGAGATAGCAGCTGTGATAGGGGTGTTACAGTGGTGCAAGAGTGGTACCTACTGGATATGTATGTAAAATGCCCAAAATAAGAAATTACCAGAGTGTAACACAAGCAAATACTATTATATGAGAAGCTGTATCTGCCAGGTTTGACATTTCTACTTGTAAATGATAACAAATCCATTACCCAAATTCTCACTGATCAATTTTGTCAATCTATAAGAAAAGTGTTTTAGCACTGATTTGAATTACGGCCTGACCTGACATTATCAGGCTTCTTACCATGCCATCAGTGAAATATTTGCAGCTCATCTTAATGAATTTAACCGTTGCCGGGCTCTCGTCCTCTGAGTTTGGTGAGCGCTCACGCCGGATGGACTTTGCCGACCTGCAGTCTGAAATGCCATCCTGAAGGAAGTTAGACGGACAAATTCAGAGACCTGAATGTTAGTACTTGTCTTTACTATAGCTTGTTCTGAAGAGTATAATTATGATATGGACCCAGAGAGACATTTGTTACCAACTTGTCCTAAAATTACTTTTTCTCTTTACTGCCAAATGCTGGTAGATAAAATTACCTTCCTTTGCAAACTGGCAAAAAATCCATTGTTGATGCACTAAACACTAAACCTGCTAATACCATGCATTCCATTTGTAATTCAACATGGAGGATAGTTATAAGAAGTATGTGCCATCAACGTTTTAAACATAAAGACAGGTGACAATTTCTAAGAAAAGCCTGAATAAATAATGTCCCCATCCACAGGGCACGAGGGATCATTGAACAACTTGATGAGCATGAAAATGATGTGAATCTTATGTTATGTCCTTTGCAGTAGAGATGGGTGATGTCTACTGAACTGTCACCAGACAATAGGGGGTTTGGCAGCTCTAAGTACCTCTTTGCCCATCTGGCAGGTACTTTTACACTAAATGTAAAAGATGACAGACAACAGATCTTCATGACCTTTTGCATATATGCATATCGCAGAATATGCCACATTCCCATCATACGTTGATGTGAAACCAGTGAAAATGTCTCACAACAGAGACACACTCAGTTCACTCTGATTATTCAGTGGTGTTACAGAGTGATGCCCATCTCTACTTCACAGTCATCACATCTCAACCCAGTTGAACACCTATGGGAGATTTTGGAGCAACGCGTTTGGAAGACTGGTGTTCATTCCTCCAGTAGAGTTCAGAGACTCGTAGAATCAATACCAAGGCGTACTGAAGCTGTTCTGATGGCACATGGTGGGCCAGCACCTTACTAAGACATTTTATGTTGGCTTTTCCTGTAATTTGTCACCTACATGTATTTTTCCTAAATGGCTACTATAAACTACTGTACATAATGTGCCATGTAGCAATATGACAAACCTATTTGTACTTACTGATGCTTTGTCAGACAAGTCATTTGTGAAGATGGGATCAGAGGAAGTTGGAGACTTTAAGTCTTTGTCTGTCTGGCTCACATCAGGGACAAACAGCTTCTGTAGTGTGATGAACAGCCAGAGGTCAGCCAACCTGAGGAATAATGTGGAGACCACAGCGGCACAGTGTGGTACTGTCAGTGTTCTTACCTGACCAGGGTAGACGCTGCGAGAGAAGAGCTTGTTCAGCTGGACCAGCTTGTTTGGGGTGATATTGAAATTAAGTGCGATGCTGTTGAGGGAATCATTAGGTCCTACCTGTAACACGAGATCAACTCCTCTGTTAAATGTGTCGCTAAAGATGTTCTGTATGCACAAAGGTCAAAATATTCTACAATCCTTCTCTCAGTTAGTCAGAAGCATGTTATCTGAAGGTGTTATCAGCGTTACTCACAATAAATTCCACAGTCCCTGGTGGCCTCCTCTTGTCCCTCTTTGTCTGACTGTTACTTTTACAGATATCATCTGAGAGAGAAACAGAAAAATATCTTGCAGAGTGAGGACAATGGCAAAGTGACACCATGTTTCCACTGTATGCTTTTTCTGCTGCAGAATTTTCACATGGTCCATTAATAAAAACAGGTCCAGCATCTAGTGGATGTGCAGACAACAGCACTACACACCTGAAAAAACTGACAATAATCTCACAGGCAAAAATACAATTAAAGCTACTTTTCATCTCTTTTAAGAGTATAGGAGATGAATAAATGGCTCATATTTTCTGGTTTGCTAATAATCCACTGATTCCAAGTTTCACCATCTGGTGAGGCCAGTACGAAAATACTCCAACAGAGAGGACCTTCTAAATATTCATGGTTAACTATCTTGTACTTCAGTACTAGTGCTTGTTATTCCGTAGCTTTACAACTCTGTCCCACACGCACACACACACACTATCTGATCCTAGTAGCAGGAAAAGCCCACAGTCAGCATTTTCTTCTGGCCATGAACACAGAAGCTCTTAGCACACCACTCCCTGCGGCCATACTGCACTACTGCCTCCCTCCATGGAAACACAGGGCATGACTAAGCATTAGACAACCGGACACCAACTGCGTCTGCTCTTTACTGTACTGAGCATCACACACACACACAACTGCAGTCACTTCTGTGAATACTGGAAATTACTCTCTCATTTTGTACTTTGCTACAGCTGGTACACCGTAGCATCGCACGATGTGGTCTTTTAGCTGAAAGCATATACAACCCAGAGTTAGGTGTGGTTTATGTGGCTAATGCACTGCAGAGCATTGGTAGGATGAGCTTCAGGCAACAATGGTCTGTGCTTAGAAAAACAGAATTTACACAGCTGCCTGATCTACTGCGTGTAGGACACGAGTCCATTATCACGGTCAACGTGACACAATTGTGATTATTTCTGCTACAAACAACACACACTATTCTGACTATTAGCAAACAGTGACAGACATTAGTTGATCACAAAATCTCTCAGTCATTATGAATGTACACACAGGTTCAGCCTAATCTCAAATTATTATTATTGGTATATTACAACCAGTTTCTCCTCTGAAAAAAAGCCTCAAAACAGAAATGTTTTCCCTTTTGAAGCTACAGTATGTATGCTATACATATCGTAATGTGGAGAGCTGCTGTAAAAAACTTCTTTGAGAACTCATCGAGCAGCAGCACAGACATATTACCTGAAGGGGTCAATACATAGACATGCTTCTGATCTTACTGTTCCTCTTGCACTGACGCCTCAAGCTAGTATTAACTGCTGGAAGACGTCTCTCTGACTCTCAGGCTAGCAAGCTCCCAGTGCCTGCATTCGCTGAGACAGTGAACACATCGAAGATGTAGGTGAAGACCTGGTTTGCTCTCGAGTCTCATGACAACTCTGTCTTGATTCTCACAACTTTCACACTGTAGCTTTTCGGCTGCTTCTTATTGGCCAGAGGACACACACTCCAAATAACAGAGCAGCAACACCACGACTGTAAACAGACATACTGCCTGCTGCCTGAAAATGAGAGCTTACAGAGGACAACAAAAACCCATTTTGCCAAGACAACAAAAGCCTGACTATGACTAAAATATGTCTGACTGAAGCATAATTGCAACACCGCATTAAAGTGATTTATGTGAGAGATGCACTGGGAGTTTCTGATTTACCTGAACCTGCAGGTGGCTTTGCTGTTACTCTCTGTAGGTCTCTTAGGTTGTTGGGGTCGCTGTCATTTTGGATGTCTGGACAGGAGATAATTACCTGGTTATGCTCATTCACATTCCTCTCCGATTGGCTCTGCTTGAGCTGTCTCCGCCTCTTCAGCCTGATGGGATGCCAGAGGAGATGGATTTGTTTACATCCACTAAGTCTATGAAGAAGGTACGTCATGGTCATTTGTTCTCTTCTGTTTTAACTTAGTCCCCATGACGAGTCTTTCAAGGTTGGGATCAACATACAATACGTATACAATTTTGTGCACACACACACAGTTAAACCATGTTAATGCTGCTGTTGATGTTTTCTTAATGGAATTTTTTTGCAGTGTTGTAGTTAAGGTGGACACTGAGCACTTAGCTCATCTTTAACTATTCTGATTAGTCTATTTTGATCTGTTGTGTATTGGCTAGTACAATGAATCAAAAATGTGGCTTCACACTGGAAGAAAGGATAATGATAAATAATTTATTAGTGTTACCATTTCACATGCACTTTTAAATCCATTATGATCTGTCATCAGCAGGCAGCAGCACATGCTTGTTTACCGTCTAATCTCATTGATATTGCAGACGACTTCAGCTGTAAATTCAGACCATGATACTATTTTACTCAAAGTTATCATACTGAGCTTTTAAGTTATTCCTCTCTCTACTTTGTGGCATCAGCTGTACTTTCCTGACAGACTGTGCTTTCCTTTTGTTTAATCATTTATGGGTTAGGGAATGATGTAATGCTGCCTCCTGACCCTGCTGGGGTTCACTAAAGGGGAACACTGCAGTGCGGTGCAGTGAAACCTTGGTTAGCTGTGCAAGAATAAGCACAAGGATAATGTACGCTGCATAATGACACACTGAAACGTTAAGTGTGGATCTTAGTATGTTAAAAACACAATAAGACCAAACTGATTTATCAAATGCTTTGAGTGATACATGCGATGCTGTTCTACATAGCCCTAGGCAAAGAAAGAAAAACTAAGAGAGAAGTGTCTTAAGTGTTCAAGTGCCCTAATGGAAAGGCAAGGATGGGTCGATAAGGCTGCAGACAGATAGAGCTCAGGCTTCTCCCATAGCCTCAGGGCACTCCCCCACTGTTACCGATGCAGCACACATCTGGTAGTGAACTCAAGAATCTGTAGACACACCATCTGTTTCACTCTGGGGCATTTCGCAGAGCTTTGCAACCAATCTCTCTACTTCACCTTAATATTTTACTTTTCTTCTTCCTGTTCTTCTTTGACTTCATGCTATGCCTAGCAGACAATATGTTTTCTTTCCACATATTTCTGTATTGTAGCACTCACTTCACTCCTACTTTCTTGTGGTACAAAAGCATCCCCAAAGCCAGATGCTACCACTACCAAGTCTCATGGTGGGAACTGTGCATTTCCACTTATGAGCAGTGTTACATTTGCACCAAAAACATTTGGGTAAAAGGCACACATCTGGGTTCATCAGACCATACAACCTTTTCCCATTTTGCTTTTAATGTCCCACATATCCTTTGGCAAACACTAGCAACAAAGATGTGACTTGTGAAATCACCAAGGCAACAGTTACCTCATGTGAAGGGTCCGTCTATCTCAGCTACGACGCTTTAAACTCCCAAATCTGTAACCCTGTTACAGATTTGTTAGGAATATGTATTTGTCTGCAGAGTACAGGATTTCCAGGAAACTGACTAATCATCAGTTGGACTTTAATGTAAATTTTATGCAAAATGTGACCTATAATTTCAATTGTTTTACTTTTACTTTATTTGACATTAGAGGGTCCTTTGATAAAATGATTGGCGCCAAAAAACTAATTACATGTACTGGGTTTCAGTGTTGTAAAACAATAAAACATCAAACAGCCCGTGGCGAGTTCATACGTTTTACTGGCACCATATGCGTGTGCCTCACAATGACCTTTGATTTATTTGTCAGGAAGCAAAGCAGCATATGGTTCCAGTAGCATCCTGCTACTCCAACACGTAACCAGTGACGTGCGGTCAGGGGAGGCAGGTGAGGCAGAGCCTCCCCTGTCAATCTTGAAAAGAAAAGAAAAAGTTAATCATAAAATATAATAAATGTTAATATTTGTCGGCTGGTGTGTGTTGTAGGCCCTTTTGCCGTTCGAATCCGATGTTGAAGGA